CACACGTGTGGGAAACAATCCACGAAGTATGATCGCAGCAAGAAATTTGGAGGCAATGTTGATTAAACTAATTCCGCTGCGATTTTCACAAGAGGATCTATCCTCATTCTCGTCAATTGGTAAGATGACTGATTCACACCATTCAGTTGGAACCTATTTCCTCTTTCATACTGAGCCCAAGACCCATTATGAAAAAGACGCATATATGAAAACGGTCTGAAAAATCGCAGTTAATCGGTGGTGGTAAAGCGGTTAAGGTGACTAACTTATCACCCAGGAGGACGCGTACTCGAATCACACCACAATTGCCTAATTCTCCTCATTTTTCTGTGATGTACGACAGCCCTCTGATTGGCCGCTTCGAACTTCCTAAAATTATATCACTATATATGCAGTAAAAAGGAGTAAAAGAAGGAAAAATAACTCGAAAATCAAGCATCCGAATGGGAATAGACCTACCCCGATTCCCAGAATTCCCAGAATCGTCAGACTGACTGCGGTGAACTGACGACACGTGATGCGAGAAAACACATTATAACCGTGTCCCAGACTGTGAAACGGAGCATTGAGAAAATGTGCCGGATGGGTTGTCATCCCCGGTGCGGTAGGGATGGTTCCGTTGAACGGAAAACGACACGCGGCTTTTGGTGCGGATTCAGGAAGCAAGGTTTGATGGTCTGAGGAAGAGACTGAATTACTGCTCACAGTCTGTCCCATGGACGAGGCAATCAAACCCAAATCACATGGTGTTGTATCGTCCAACCAACCAGCCCGACGAGCCCATTCACAGAATAGAGCGAATATCATTCCATAGACAACTGAGTAACGATCAAGAGACCAACGACGATACCAGAATTGCTCTTCGCGGATCACATCATCACCGTATGGTTCCATCAGGTTTGGCGCGGCTGCAGTAAGCTGAAATAAACGTTTTTGAGGCCTACAACAAAGCGAATCTGACAATTAGTGAACGGAGTTACAGTTTATCGAATATGAGAAGAAACCATTGCTTTCGAGTGACAAGTACACCGGCATGTATTTCACACGGGTTCCGGTTCAATCACTTTGCCGGATAGATCGTGATTTAGACATTTACTGATATGAGTTGTCATTTTGTGTTCTCATTGTGCGAGGTTTTAAGGTTTGATTTTCGTTAGAATGTGGAAAAATAACACAATTTGGAACGGTGCAATCAATGGGTTCGATAACAACCCATGACGATCACCGAGAACACCAAAAGTCAGAAGGAGAAAGTATGACCGAAATAGAAAACATATTAATAAGGTGAGAAAGCTGACAACAACAACAACAATTCAGCAAACTAGCTAGCATGTATAACCACAGGTTAAAGTGATGTATTGAATTTCAGCTGGATTGTCGATTCGGTGGGTAACCGTATGGTGGCAGTGGAAGCCAAGCGGTGCGGCTTCGCATCAGATCGTAGTTCCAAGCCACTGGCGGCAATTGCTTTCCTTTCGTTTGAAAAATCCACCATGNCACCTACAACACTACAACATGAAGTCAGGTTGGAGAGTGTTTCCAACCGAGTCATAACCCTGGAGGCCAGTGCTGTGCTGGCCCGGATGCGATGCCAGCAACATGATTTGTGTGTGTGTAAAGACAAAATGAAACAAAAACAAAAGACCATCGGGTAAGCATGCCTGATGAGCGATAAGAATCGTAATGCCGGTCATGTGCTTTCAGGGTAGGTTTGTCCAGCCGTTCATATACAACTCATTATAATATATAGTGTTCCTTACTAATGTAAAATGCTGTTACAGAGTGGCTTAGATTCAGCTCACAACTTGTGACAGGGGAAAGTACACTGAGAATGGACTAACTTTGCTATCTCGGAAATGGCACATCATCTGAGGAAAGCATTATGGATAAAGTTTCCACACGCACACGGTGCTGTAAACCTCCGATGCTGTTGGCATTCGATTATCCGTGAAGCGTTGAGTGTCTAAAACAGCCGATGCGGGACACAGACTGTGTGTGGACTATGGGATCGAAGTCATCGATAGTCAAGCATTCTGAGTAAGACGACTGAGTGATGTGAACCATGCCGTTCGTGTGTATGAAAGTGTTTTGCCCATATTTAATTTATATATATTCATCCTGGTGCTGCTGACCGATTTATTATTCCTTCCTACAATCAAGATGAATCACGATGACCCACTAAAAGACAGTGCCCGAAAGCACCGTGACGGTTGTATGAATCAAACTGAACCCGTGGGAGGTCGCACTTTGGGTACCAAATAAACTGGTCAGAATATGCACTCAACAAATTACTGAGGAAACAGACTATGACGACTATGAAAGTACTCTCAATACCACCATTGGTTACGATCATCCCGAGGTCCTCAGCCAGGGAGCCTAACAGGGCCCATGTGACCCAGTTTCCTGGTTAGGGTTTTCATACCCTCATGCCAGGTCTTAACTTGACCACCCTTGGCTTTTTTCCACTCGGTTTCTGCTTCGGCGAACATCGCTCGCCGTGGTAACCTACCTGGTGACATGCGTAACACATGTCCCAGCCAACGTAATCTATGGAGGTCGACCACTTGCTTCAGCGGGCGACCGTATTTACCCGAAACTCTGCCCCTAACCTCAGCATTGCTCATTCGGCTACCCCACCAGATTCGTGCAATGCTGCGTAGACAGCGGTGTTCAAACACCGACAGTCTGTCTTCATCTTGTTTTCTTAATCCCCCTATAATAATAGCCGATGCCCAGTCCGAGCTTACGGCACATTTTCACTCGAGTTCATCACGGAAAGTGGTGTTCGACAGGGTTATTATACTCATAGCCGAAGTCGAGTCCGGGCTTACGGCACTTTTTCGTCCGAGTTCACCACGGAAAGTGGTGTTCGTCAGGGTTGCCTTCTTTCTTCATTCTTATTTAACTTTGTTATAGATCTGATTATGGAAACAGCCCTATCCTCGTGCGAGGATAGTGGGATCGATTTCTCTTTTCTCCCAGGTGGCAGACTGTCTGATCTAGAGCATGCAGACGACATTGTTCTACTAAGTGAACATCCAGGTAAGTTGCAATCATTCCTGGATAACTTGAATGCCAGTGTAGCCATATTCGGTATGCATTTTGCACCTTCAAAGTGTAAAATGATACTAGAAGACTGAGTTGATCCAGCACTCAGACTCACTCTAACTGGGGAATTAAAAGAGCAAGTGGCTAATTTTTGTTATCTGGGCAGCTGCATCTGACCCGGTGGACGCATCACGGATGAAGTGTCAGCTCGCATACAAAAGGCTCGGTCGGCATTTGCCAACTTGAGACATTTGTGGCGCCGTCGCAACATCCGGTTGCTTGTTGAGGGTCGAGTGTATGCTGCGGCAGTTCGGCCAGT